TACTTCTAGTTTGTGGTTGTAATATCTTCCCTATTCTTCAATTTTGTAAAATCATAGGTTTTTAACCTGATTAGTTATTTCTATATGTTGATATTAGATGTAAAATAATGAATTCTTGTATAAAATTGTGTTGTTAATATATATATATATATATATATATATATATATATATATATATATAATTTTATTTTTATGTTTCCTTTTCCATAAAAGTTTAACCATAACATATTTATTTAATATACATTGTGAATCTTATATTTTCTTTGTTTATTTCTATTTCATCATTAAGGATAGAGTCACGAAGAAAATATAAAAATTTAAAACAAGATTATTGTTACAACATTTATACGTATTTTTTTTAAGATTTTATTTATGTGGATTGGCTCACATGTCCATATGGGCCAATCATTATACAAAACAAACCAACAAAACTAACATGTGATTCTTAAGTGGAACAGGTCAAAGTGACTTACTTTTTGTGGGTTAAAGGACAAGGCAAAATATGTGAAATAAACTAGTATAAATAGACTTTATTTTCACTAAGTCTTCGTTCTCAATTTTTTTTTTACCTTGGATGAAACTTAAAACTTTTGTGAACTAGTTTTAAAAATGCAATTATGAAAGACTCTACACAAAGAAACATTTCAATAGTATGTTAGTTTAGCACGCACAAAATAAAAATTTGAAAGAAAATTACTGTTACATGTATGTTAGTTTACCACGCACAAAATATATATTTTATAATTGTTTCTTCTTTCAACTCATGAGAATGTATCCACTAATAAAATTAAAATTAAAATCAACTAAATTTATATATAGATAAACTTCTAAAACTCTTGTGGCATATGAGACACCAAATTTTATTCTCTCTTTTTTCGAGACAATTTATCTTGGTTGACTCATCTCGACCTTTTTCATTTGAACAAATTCAATTTGACTTTTAGTCTAGGCTAACTTGACTCGACCTTCAGTCTGAACGTCTGTCTCGACATGCGACCTGTGTTAACCTTAAGCTTGGGTCTAATTGTTTCGACTTTCGACCCAAATCTAGTCTCGTCTCAATCTTTGGCCTAACCAATTAGTCACTATCTTTAGGCACGACCTACCTAGCTTGTCCTTTGTTCTAGATTGAATCAGCTTGACCTTCAACTCAAGTTGAAATTGTTTGACCTTTGACATGTGCCCGATCAGGTGAAGCTTTTGCATGTGATGAACTAACTCAACCTTTAGTCAGTTTCAAAGTTGTTCGACCTTTGACCTATATTGAATTAGCTTGACCTTTAGCCTGCACCGATTCGTCTTGACTTTCGACTCAACCAACTCATTTGGACCTTTTGCTCAATTGGCCCATCTCACTTTTGACTCAAACCAACTCGTCTCTCTTAAACTTCGACTGAGGCCAAATCAATTCAACTTTTAGCTCAGACTGACTCAACTGAGCCTTCAATTCGAGTCGACTTGAGGGATCCTTTAGCCTAAGCTAGCTCAACTCGATGTAACCTTTATGAGTGAAGTGAGAATGGAGTGAAAATGAGTGAGATTTAAAGATTCTTATAGTTTTTAGGGTATTTGAAATTCTTCTATTTTTTTCATTATTTGAAATTCTTCAAATAAATTAATTACTCTTCTAAATTACTTCATCCAAACACAACATAAGGAAGTTTGCATAAACTCATATATGAAAACAAATTGTCTAATGTATTTATGTTTAAATGTAGGCTATTTTGGTTAAATTATTTCTTTAAGAAAAACTAGAGATGAAAGATGTGACTTGGAGCCCTACACACACTTTTTGTAGTATTAAGTATTAAATGATATAGAGATGCACGATAAAAAAATATAAAGATATCAACATGAAGATGGAAGACATACATCTGGTTCAAATTCTTTATAAGTCTTATAGTGATCATAAGTGTTCTTTTTATGAGTTGTTAGAAAAACTTTGTACTCCTTAACATTTTGAAGTCTTTTTTAGTGAACTTAAATTGTACTCTTGTGTGAGAGGGGAAGATTAAAAGGGTTTAACTAAAAGTGGTTTGCGTACTCATGAGAATAAAAAGTGATATATATATATATATATATATATATATATATATATATATATATATATATATATATGAGGGAACCAAGAGTGGCTTTGAACTAAGATTATAATTGATTAGTATAACCTCTAAAGCTATTTCTTAAAGGAAAACTAAATATAACCAAATAAGTTAGAGTGAAGTAGTATACAAATTTTGTGTTACTTGACCAGACTATCTAATCTAGGTTTGTGCAAGAAAGAGTCTCAAGCTCAATTCAATCTTTGTTTTTCTAGAACTAACTATTTTAAAAAGTGGTATCAGAGTCAGCACCAATTGTGAGTTTCCAACCAAAACAAGAGATTTGATCCAAGCAGACTCTGAGAAATATAATATGTAAAAACTAAAACTGATTACATATCTTGAGTCTATTAACTAAAACTTGTTGAATATCGTGGCAATGAAATTCCTTATTTACTTCATGATAAAGGAAAGATGTTACACTGAGTTAATTGAATGAAGGGCAAAGATATTCGTATCATTTGAAACTAAAGTCAAAGTCTGTTATGTGCCTTTCAAAAGAAGAAATTTATGATGTTCATTTATATATATCATAGCTTGCCTTAACTCATAAGGGTTTAAAGGAAATGAGATGTAACAAGCTAACTTCTTAAACATCAATATGAAATGTTTTCTATAGAAAGAAAATGAAACAATACAGTCGATGATTACTGACTACAAACTCTTCTTAATAGTCTACTCTATAAAGCAAGATCAATAATTATGATATCAGTGAAAAGGTGTTGTGGACTTGCATATGGAGGACTCAAGATACAACTCTTGGAACATTCAAGAATCTTGAAACGATGTCTAGAGGAGTTGGTAGACATTCTTATTTTTCATGTACGAGTTATTTTGGGAGGCAACGATAAAGCTAAAGGAAAAAGTCTTACTTTAAATTCAAATCAGAAGATCAAGAAATGGAGGTTATATCTGTTCAAAATCATCTTACAAACAAATCACAATTGTGCTTAACAAACATAACCGGTACAATGTTGTATCATACATGGTACACTGTTTGTGACACAATGAGGGATTAAGTAACTTAAGAATTATTGAAAATTCAAAACAAATTCAAATATTATTATGCGACCTATAATAAGTCAACAAAAGACTTTTATAACAATATTCAAGTCAAATAATAAATCTATCTGATATACAAATGAAAAAAAAACATGAAGAGATGAATCCTAACATAGCATGTCCTCACAAATACTATTTGGATCTGATGTCATAAGTGTTGTGTAACTCCTCCAATATGTACAAATTAAAAGAAAATTATTTTTAAAGAGCATAAGTTTCGTGATAAATACTATTCTTTTTGCTTTTTATAATGGTCTTTTATTAAAAAAGAAATTGTTGGGTTTATTTTTTATATTTCAAATTTTAAGATTATGCAATTTTTTCAGTAATAATCTTGTTTCTATTTTTATAGTGCATTAAACTTATTTGAACTTAAAGAAAAATCTAAACAAGGTAGATAATTTGGTTTAAATAAACTGCATTTAACATATAAAAGTAAAATGCTTTTTAAGTTGGTGAAAACAACCTTTATTATATAAAAAAGATGCAGCATAGTATTTCGTACATGTTGTATAGATACTCTTAAGAGAAAGATGACATGCTTGGCGTCCACGATACTATAAGCTGTATATATAGCCAGAAAAGATAGTATTGTTGGGTAGTAATTCAAAAGGAATATGAAATTTTTCATTGTTTTTTTATCGGATCAGCTATATTATTAGAGTCATATGTCACTATTTTCTTTATTCAAATGTTCAAAACTTTAAATCTTTGATATTCAGTTTCATAATGTTGAAAGTTAGGTCACAGCACGAACATCGAGGAATTTAAAGTTGATGATTACAAAAGCAATCATCTTTGAATTTCTTTAGCATTTTTTTGTAAAAGAGGAAACGAATAATTTGATTTTAGATCATTGATCTTATTAAGAAAAATGTAATGAGGTCAAAACACTTTGATAAATTTATCACTTAACCTCAGCATCAATATATTTGGTTCCTTTCCGAAATCAATAGAAGCACAACTCCAATGGTTATAACCAACAAAATTCAATCATTACAGTCAGAACTCTTTATTAAAGTACTAGAATAGTTTGAGATGCAAAACACTCAAAAGGAGATAACTGGTTTCTATATTAGTCTTTACTTTCATGCTATTTTGTCACTCTTTCACAATCGTTATTGCATTTCTTGCAAAACAGCATAATCAAAGTGCTCTTATTCCCAAACCCAACTATCAATTTTCCCTCTTTTAGTTTCATTCTTAATTTGTATACATCATTTTAAACATCTCTTTTAGATTAATCAAACTTTTAATTAATCATCAAGTGATTTAAATTTTTTTTCTAATTCTTAAAAATTGTACTTAATCTAAAGATATAACCTCTCTATGTTTATCTTAGTAAAATTATTTTAATTTATAGTTTTATTCGCTAATGATCCCTTTCAGTTTTCGTGTGTAAGTAGTTGTTTTAAATGTTTCACATTATTTAAAGATATAATCGGATTACAAAAATCGTATTTTATATCACATTATTGAAACAAAAATAGCAATCACATTCATTAATAACAGAAATTAAACATTAACATATTAAAATAAAAATATTATAAATGCTCAATAACTTTTTTGAATAAAGAGTGAAATTAATATATCCAAGTTACTTGAAAGGTACGTAAACCTTATTAATTTTACGTGATACATATAATAAAATAATATTATTTAATGATGTAAAAGTTTTACTCGTTTGCCATATAGTTGTTTACCATATTTATTAAAATAAACAAAAATTAGTTGGAGTCTAGTGGACCCTAGCTCTCGAACATAGGCAATCGTGAAAGGGAAACAAGTTTGCCATCATGGGACCCACAGAGCGACCCAACACACACTTTCATTTCACTGTCACACACACCTCTCTATCTTCTTCCTTCTGTGCGTTTTGTTACATAAGAAAGAATTGGTTGGAGTCTATGATTATTTTCTCTCTCTTTGTTTATCAATGAAGAAAACACATACATGTATTAAATACCAATACCAAGAAGAAGCAACAGATGGATTATTTGATGTTGATACCGATGCCTGTGATCATCAACGACAACGTGGAACAATGATTCCACACGCCTTGCACAGTGTTGCCACCGCTCATTTTCACTTCTTAGCTCTCCTTCCAACCTATCTTCTTCTGCATTGAATTCCTCGCCCAATCAATCACCTTTCTATATTCCTCGGGATCTCCGAAGCCTGTTCCTCTCCCATTTTGCCGCCATAACATACCCACGTGGAGGATTTCCCTCTCCCCTTTGCCAAGATTTCTTATTTTTCACTCTTGGTTCTCTGGGTTGGTAAGTTCTTCAGAAAACTTTGAGATCGGTTCGCTGCGTATTATCTTTGTTGTTTGTTTTTTCTTGAAAAAACTTCATCCAGAGTTGAAAGGGAACTTTTTTATCATTGTGTTTGGTTCCTATGTTTCATTGAAAATGTGGGTTTTCTTAGTCCTGATTTTCCAGCAAGAGGGTGTTTGAGTTTTGTTTTACTTTTGGTTACTGCATCTTTTTCTTCTCAGCAGCCAAAAGGGAATTAAATTTCTGGTGTCATTCATAAATTTCGGTTCTGCTTCCAATTGTTGACTCATGCTGTGTCTTACTAAATTGGGTGCCCCATCGTTTTACAAATTAATTGGTTCTGATGTTATAGTCTAAGTTTTGCATAAGTATTAGCCTATGCTTACTTCTATGGTTGTGCTTTTGTTCTGATTTGGGTTCAAAACAGAGGTTATGCCTTGATATTGATGTGCATTTATGTGAAATTAATTAGCATTTAATTCGGAAGCATCGTATTCATAGGTTAATGTATGGAAATGAGTTCATTGTTGTTTTCTTGAGTACGGAGTGGTGGCTATTCATTGTTTATGTTCATTGAATTAAGACGTTGATATTTACAGTAAACTTAATAACTTCCCTTTCACGTAGCTTTCTGTCACAACTCCCAATTTATTCTTCTCAGCGTCAAAACCAAATTTCTATGTTTCAAGGAACAATTAGCTATTTGCGTTTGGTACCCAAAATATACTAAAAGAAAGAGCAATAACCCATTTTAAATGACGATTCTTTTCCCCTCCAATATCATTTAATTGCCGAATACCCTTTAATATGTGGTACGTCTATTGTATTATAAATTGTAATGTGTGATACATGTTATTCTGTTTATGAACACATGCCATTGTTGTGTTGCAAAATGTAATTTGAGGTCATTGTTGAACTGCTTTGGATGTCATCTAAGCTCCTTCTGGGAAATCCTTGCTCTGTGAATTTAATGTTTGCACCATTTTTTTTGGAATTCTTGTTTTTTTGTACAAATTGATCTAAATGTAAACATCTCCAGATCAAGTGGAGTAACTCCTCTGCAGCATGAGTATACGGGAGCAACTTCAGAGTGAAATCTTAGCGTATATTAAATCATATCATTGATCATCCTTCAGTATAATGAGTTGTTGAATCCCTCTGAAGAGATGGGGTTTGGTTTAACCCTTGGAAAGAAAAGCTCAAAACAGCAAAGCAGGTCAAAGTCATCAAAGGATGGTTCTAGTTTGCTCCAACCCAATACACCTCCAAGTGACTCACTTAAGTTAAAATCAAAGTCTATTGTTGGTCAAGCAAGCATTGATTCTGGTTATAAAGCAAAGCATGACATAGTAAGAAAGGTTCAGCACTTGGATAATGCAAAAGGAAGTTCAACTCCACCTGATGAACTTGTCAAGTACATGTCTAGTTTGCCTGGATTTCTCAAGCGTTCTGATGGAGGAGAAAGCATTCAAGGGAAGGCTTTAAATGTTGGGGTTCTTGATTGGTCTAAACTTGAAAAATGGAAGAGCAAGCAAACGCATACGAAGGCAGAAGCTAGCAATTTCACATCATTCAATAGCAGTGAAGAAGGATTACCAACGGCAGCCACCACATCATCTACCATTTCTGTTTGCCATAATAGAAAGCTTGATGGTAAAAAAGGTTTGGATTCTTCAAGAAACAAGGTATCTTATAAAGAAGACTTTGCTATAAACTCTAAAATGTCTGCTCAGAATGTCAAACAGTATCTACATTCTGAAATTAAAACAAAGACTATTGGAGAAGAGCTCGGAATGTCAATTACATCACTTCAAAGGGTGAAAGTTAATGGCTGTGATGAAATAACTTCAGCAGTTGGAAGCTCTGCATCTAAATCCAGGCATCATGGGATCCCAGTAGTTTCTAATGAAAATTCTAGTGGTAGGAATATTGAAGATGAGATGAGAATGCAGGGTTTGCATCCGCATAGCCTCAAGAAAAAGGAGAGAAATCTGAAGCCTAGTTCTGATAAGGGATTTTCATCATTAGAATCAAAAAATAAAGGTGTGTTATTTCGTTCTCAGAAGCAAACGAGTTCTAGCAGCAGTGAACTCAAGAACAAGATGAATCAGTGGCACGAATCAGATATTGATGCTGATCATAAACAAAGTCATAGGATGTCTGGTAATATTGTGTTGCTTCGTCCCAGAAAAATTCTGCAATTGAAGTCTGAAGACTGTTTTCAGAATTCTCAATCAAGAACCTCATCCGATGAAGACATTGCGGAATCAAGCCGGAGTAGTTTGTCATATATGTCAATTCAGGATGTTTACACTGAAGATTTACATTCTGAAATTCCACATTCTGTGGCCGAGCTTGTTTCCTCAGAAACACTGCAACAGAGTAATACTGATCTAGATATTGGTCGGTCTTCTGGTGTATATAAGAAAGCATCTTGCTCAAATAACACATTGAGTTTCCAATCTCAAGATACATGCATTGAAAAGGACGTGTTAGATAACAAGCTAAAAAATCAGTGTGCTTTCAGTAATGTGCTGGAATCACGGGACCATGAAATTCCTCAGCCGACACCTATGAATTCCTCATCTAGTCGTCGACTTAGCTTAAGCTTAAGTCGGATTGGGAGAAGTTTCAGTTTCAAGGAAGGTTCTATTCCAAAAGTTAGCTCCATGCATGTGAGTTCAAAGTCTGGTTCAGTGACACCAGAATCTTCTGTTTGTTTGGAAAACCATACCAAATATAAAGTAAAAGGCCATAACAGAACCAGGTCGAGCCCCTTGTTAAGGTTATTAGACCCCATATTAAAGCATAAGACATCAAGCATACACTATTCAGATGAACAGAGTGTGACATCAAAAGGAAACATAGATTCGATCAGCTTGAGGACAATTAATCTGCCTGATGAAAAGAGTAAGGAATCATCGTTCCAAGCTCTTTTGCAGTTAACTATAAGAAATGGAGTACCTCTGTTTAAATTTGTGATCAACAGTGAAAGAAAGGTTCTTGCCGCTACCACGAAGAGTTTAGCATTGCAGGAGAAGGATGATTTAGACTGCTATTTTACATTCTACGTTGTTAATGAAATGAAGAAAAAGAGTGGCAAATGGATGAGTCATTGGAGTAAAGAAAAAAACTGTGGATATGCCTACAATATGGTTGGTAAGATGAGGGTTTCTAGCTCTAAAATCGCTGAATCAAACAATGAGAAGTCCAAGAGAGAGGGAGTGGTGAAAGAATATGTCCTAATGGGAGTTGAAGTTGAGCAGCTAGATCGAGAAACACCACAGTTCTTCATGAGCAAGGAGCTTGCAGCTGTTGTTACCGAGACTCCTTGTGAAAAAATAAACCATGAAGGATGCCTAAAGTGCTTGGCAGATGAAAAATGTTTTTGCAGAGCACAAGAAAATGATATCTATGGCAGCATTAAAGTTATACTTCCTGGTGGAGTACATAGTTCACCAAACACTGGAAAACCTTCACCATTGATCCAAAGATGGAAGTTGGGGGGATCATGTGATTGTGGAGGTTGGGATGTTGGTTGCAAATTGCTTGTTCTCTCTAACCAAAACATGAGTTCAAATATTCCAAGGAGTTCAAAATCTTACCCAGAGAGATTTCATCTTTTTGTTCAGGTATGTTTTTACTTTTCTTCTTGTGGCCATGAGTATATGCAATTATATGTGTAATGGCAAGCGAATTAATATCATCCATGCCATAACTTTCAGGAAGGAGCTGAGGAAAACACTCCCATATTCACTTTGCTGCCATTGAAGGATGGATTGTATTCGGTGGAATACAGTTCAACTATCAATCATTTACAAGCATTCTTCGTTTCTGTGATAGTTTTAGGCAATCAGAAATTACAGAGTTCCTTGGAAATGAATAACATACAAGAAGCAATCGATAAGGGATTCAGTTCCAAGAACAACCATGAAGTTCAGGGTAAAGCAGCTTTATATTATAATCCAATTCCTCCATACTCCCCTGCTGACAGAGTTTAATTTCATAAAGTGAAGGCTTTTCCACCATCGTAGATAGCTGTTGTATATTATTATTACCACGAAGCTATATATCTCTCCATAAATACCTGTTGTGGCAGAAAATGTCATTCTCATTGTATTCTTGTGTTCACTGTACAACATCTTACAAAATACAACATGAATGAATAAGAATAGTATAGTATTCACTGTACATCTTCAAGAGCACTTCTATAAGAGGATCATATACTCATCAAAGTTGAGTTTCACAATCTAATAAAAATTACATTAGTAATTATATTCCCTCTAGCATGAACCTTTACACATTTGGTTGATGAGAAGGAAAGAAAAAGGAAAAAAAGTAATAAAGTGAATGGAAGTAAATAAGAAAAAGTGAAAACAAAGTTATTGGTAAGAAGAAAAAAATAGGTGGAGAATAATATGAATGAAAATAAATAAATAAATAATAGAGTAAAAAAAATTGTTTGGCACAAGAGAATGAGAAAAGAAATGTAAAAAAAAACTGAATAGATGAATAAAAAATGTGAAATTTGAATACAAATAGATTCATCGGATACAAAAAAGGAACAAAATTCAAATTAAAATTAAAAAAAAATACTCATATTTTATGACTTAGTTATCATCACATTGCAAATACTGTCATGAAAAATAATTTGCACATTTTAGCATTAAAATTTTATATTGTCTTACATTTTGCGGGTCTTATAAACTTCTAACAAAATGATAAGTTGTCACCAAAATAAATTCAGAAAATCAAAATAATAGTTTTATGAATCTTATTTTATTTTTTACTATTTTATCATTAAGTATTTGTATCAATTGAAATTATTAAATATCATTAAACAAAGAGAAAGCATTGCTCAACAGACGAATTCACATATTGATAAATCAATGGGATTCTGGTTTGGATAAGACTAACTTTTATTCTAGTCGGGCCATGAATTACTTCCTCAGACCAATTGGATTTCTTCTTGCACCTCCAAAATTTTTTGTAAATACTTGAACTACACTTTCGGTAAAGGTAAAAACTTTTTTTTCTCTCATGTAATTATTTCATACATCTCTTACTCTCACACTTTTTGTTAACCTAAATCTAGTCACACTCTCTCCTCTTTTCCTTTCGTTCATCACAATGTAATGTACCAAATTTGGAAAAATAAGGTTTCACTAGATTTTGAAATTGAATTATAGTATTTCCATATTTAAACTGTTAATTGAATTTAGAAATTTAATTAAAGATTTTATCAAATTTTAAAATCTAATTAAAAGTTTTATCCAATTTCAAAATATAATTAAAGATTTTACTAAATTTTAAAATTGGATAATTCTTTCCATGAAATTAATCATTTGCCTAAAATTTTGTCTCTTGTAGTTGTAGATGATGGCTCGTTCAAAGAAGGTGTGCATTGCGCTCTTTGATGAGCAGCTTGATGGATTTGTGTACTCAAATCAATTAATATATTCAACTTTTAATCAAATATATATTTTAATATTCATTTATTTCCAAATTAATTACTTTTCATTTCAGTAAAAATGAAATATTTATATAGATCAATAGTTTTGTTGGAGAAAATAAGGTATAAATTAATATTAGTTCGTACTTTAGATTTTGTAATCCCTAAGTTTACTTACTTACACAAAAGGTATGACTTCTAATTAGGATTAATAACGTCAGAGATGTGTTGGAAAATTTGATGGCAATATATAACGGTGAAGCAAGATGGGTCATCAAACTGCAATTCTATTCAAGAACACAAACTTAAACATGAGTTTTAAATATTAATAATTTTTAGTTTATAAATTGATATATAAATTAGTCGGTTTAGGGATTTTAAATAAATTCTTCAAAGCTATGTATACACATGTAATTATTTATATTTATTATTTCTCATTATAGTTGTTAGTGATATTCTAAAGTTGAACTTCACATTTGATATGAATTCAGTCTTTTCTCACCAACTAGTTTGTTTATTTTCCTTGTTATTTTGTCAATTAAGAAAATATTTCTTCCACGTTTAAACAAGAAAACAAACCCATTTACGCCGTTGAAAATATTAAAAAATATCCTAATAGAAAATAAGACGTTAATTAAATTTATTGATAGAAATTAATAGCTTGAGTTAAGCAGATTATTAAATATCGTAATAGGAATTACCTTATTTATTCTCCTAATGCCTTGTTTGGACCGTTTAGTCTGGATCTTGTCCTTATGTTTGATGGGTTTCTTCTCTTTGATGGCATGGTGGGGCACATGCGCATCATGCATTAAGTCATCGTCTATTGAGCTACTTGTTTTTGCTTTTGCTTTTTCCACAATTTTAAATGATGTGACTTCACTCAAGGATATCATCCTCAAAATAATAATCATCCTCTACTCAATCATTCTAACCCCTCAAACAAAACTTAAATACGATTTATAATCATCTTTTTCAAATATTGCTGTTTAATCAAAACTCTAATTTTACATTCATCACAACCTATATATAAATAAATTTGTATTGTGTAAATTATCAAAATAAATGCTTTACTATTTATCTATTATGAGTTTTTTTCAACTTATTAGACCAGATATGTTTTTTTTGTTTTATTTAATACCGTGATTATCTATGACCTAACACTATACTAAAATCGTTAAACAATCATCAATTTTGAAAACTAATTAGTTATTACATTGACCAAAAATATCTATAAATTAAAAATTAATTTTTATTATGAATAATAGATTATAATTAATTTTTTAATTAACCTCTAATATAAAAGTAAAGACTAATTTAAAATCATTAATAATAGATATAGTTAGAATATTAGTAATTAATATTAAATATTAATTTATATTTTAATTCGCAAATTAATTATAATTTTTCATTTTTTATAATGAAGACTATTTTAGATATTAATAAATTTGATGCTATATTTAAATTAGTTAATATAATAATTAATTATTTTTTATTTTAAAATTAGTTACTATTTAATAATTTTTTTTGTACTGTAATGAATTTTTGCATATTTTTTTGGTATTGTGACCGAGGTGTTAATTCATTAGTTCACTAATTTTTATTTGAGAATAACATTAAAAGTACTTAAAAAAGTATATCTAAATTTTATCTTTTTATTGATGTTAACTATGTGTTTTAATTGCTTAAATTTTGATAAAGTAGTACAGTTATCCATCTACAGTATAAAGTAAATCTTTACAGTCATCCAAAAATAACTATAAATTTAAAAATTTATAAACATAATATAGAAGACTCAAAACTATACACAAGGTTCTACTAAACTCAGTAAACTACTCGGCAACATCACCTCCATCCAATGGTTGCTCCAGAAAAATCTATTCTCCTGCTGCTCACATCCAAAGGATGATCATTGCAAAAGAAGAACATCATAACATACAAAATACAAGCACACAACAGGGTAAGCTAGTTTAAACAAAGATTAATCATACACCAATTTATTTAACTTCATACAATCACACTATTCATTCACATCACATAACACTACACTGACTTTGACCATCCGGACTTAGAATGATTGTCGAGCTATGGCGGGTTGTGCACTCGTGGTGGCTTCTACTGCTTTGCAAAGCCATTGTCAATGGGTTTCACCCTACCACACTCACGAGGTTAGTCCGTTATCACTCACCTTGGGCCATACTAGAAGCACCCAAGACTAGAACCTCCTGCTACTCCTCACTACATGGATCAATCCTCTCTACTTGAGAATAAAAGACCATTGGAGTTTCAGGATAACCCCAAGACTAAGCTCCTGCATCCATTCTAAACTTACTTGAATCTCAACTAGAGATTTCACTTTGAATCACAACATAGGGCACCATCATGTCTCCTCTCCTTGAGGATCATGGAATTACGTCCATTAACCATACTTTGAACTTTACACTTTGAAATACAACATACATCACTAACCACTTATATTACATGATACAACTTCAACTTACTTCATACAACAATCAATGTTTCATTTAAAACAACTTAAGATCAAAAGAGAATTGAACTAGAACTGAACCCCTTGCACAACACACACCTCCGCATAGCGAAACCATAAGTTTCTCGCACAGCGACCCAACTCGCCATGCGAATCCTTAGACAGAGACCAACTCTTCATAACCACTCGCATAGTGATTAAACTCGCTATGGGAATAAACTGTGAAATGTATCAAACCTCAAACCCCTCGCATAGCGTCCCAACTCGCTATGCGAGAACCTCAGATAAAGACTCAGACTTCCTAAACACTCGCAGAGCGAGACCCACTCGCTGTTTGAATAAAATGAATAATAGTTCCAGATCCCCAACCAGTTGCATAGCGATTTGATTCGCTATGCGGATCGACAAACAGACATCAACCATCTCAATCCACTCCCACAGCGCACCCATCGCTATGCGAATGCCTTGGCAGAGAGCCCCTCGCCAAGGTGACTCGCTATGCGAATCCATTCGCACAACGAGTCTTCATAATCTGCATAACGAAATTCTGCAGAATTATGCAACTCATCCACCACTTAACAACTCTACTCAATTTTCCCAACTTCTAACACTCCTAAATCGTTGTATATGCTTAATTAGACTTGACTAAGTGATTCTAGACCTTCCTAACCTCAATCTAAAGCGTTTATGCATAAAATCCTATTCTAAAACCTTAATTTCCTCAACTTAGAGACCCAAATCCTAATTTACCACTTTGAACCTGATTTTAACCAATTTGATGATTCAAACAAGTCACATATGACCTATCTAAACTACCCCAGCAGCCTCTAACAACACTTGACCTCAAATACTCAAATTCATTACCTCACTTCCTCTAAATTGACTTTAAACAAGCACAATTCACTTCACTTCATACCTCATCACTACCACAACAGATTACTCACATCAACTACCTCCAACATGCACAATTACAACATTTATATTCATCCAAAACAATTCATCAACATCACACTACAGTTTCATAAATCCATCCTTTCAACACATTCAATTCACATTACCTTAAAACTAACAATTTAGTCCTAAACAGTAAAATACTACCACATTCAACATATATACAGGTCATACAACAATTTAATACAGTAGCTAGCTCCCCTTACCTCAAAGATAACAGTCCCGCTCACAGAGATATACCGACAATTGACTTGCAACGCAAGGAAACTCAACATAAACCTACAACTCACCAATTGGTGATAGAGAACAACACTTAGAACCTAAATTGAGCTAGAAAATTGAAGGAAGAACTGCTAACCAC